AGGGAAACATTGTTGTTGAAAGGATAGAGGAAAAAAAAAAATCGGTGTTGTTTATGTGATGATGGGCAGGAAGTTTGTGGTTGCATCACAATAGAGCAGCACGCAATAGAGGAAAGGAGTGAAGAGCGAAGAAATATCAAGACAAATGAAGAAACCAAAAGAAAAAACGACAGGAATGCAAAATCGAAGATGAATGAATGAATGTGTAATTAATGTTGCATCATCCCCTATTTTTGTGTATGTAACACGGTTGGAAGAGGGCAGCTGGACGCGGCTGCAGCGGTCAAGACCACGCGCGCGGACAAATATGCACAGAGTGTGAGAAAATGAGGGGTGGGGGGTGGAGGAACCGAAGAGGAAGGGTGTAGCGAGATGCTCTGCCTTTCTCGTTTTCTCTCGGTGTGTCTCTCTCTGTGTGTGTGTGTGTGTGTGGCTGGAAACCCCCTAAAGGTGTTGCTCACCTTCTCTGATTCGCTCACGCATGCAAGTCATCCGCTAGTCCCCACTGCTGCAATGTATATCCTCCTGCATGCCGTCCCGTTTATCCGGCCCCCGCCAATGCGCACTCACACTCGCACAACCCAATAGGTCTGTATGTCTGTCTCACACACACACTCTCTCTCTGTCTGTATGTGTCTGTATGTGTCTGTGCGTGTGTGTGTGTGTGTGTGTGTGTGGAGGGGGGAGATGTATAGGGATGAATGGTGCCACGCAAGGTGCTGAGAAATACGGACACACTTCCCCACACCGACCAAAAGAAGAAGCACGCATGGAGTTACACGTACATGCACACAACTCTCTTCTGATTTGCGCGTGGCGCGTGGTGTAGTTTGTGTGTGGTACAGGAAGACTGCAACAACGTGATTCGCCTTCACTTGTCTTTATCTTTATAGCTCTCATTCTTCCTTTCCTTTTTTTTTCCTTGTTCTTTTTACTTCACTTGATTTTCCGTTTATCTATCTGTCTGTACGTATGTGTGTGCGTGTATGTGTTGGGTTGCCTGCGTGTTTATGCATTTGCTTGTGCGCTAGAAGGCGCTGGATTCGCGCGCATGCAGATATAGATGCGCACATGTTGTTGCGAGGCCAGTATTTCTTTTCTGTGCTCCGTGTTCTTATATCAATTACTCACCATCGCTCACTCACGCGCTCATTCGCGGTGGTGCTGCAGATAAATCTATCTATCTATCTATATATATATATATATGTGTGTGTGTGTGTTGTCACCTCTGCGTTGGCTTTGCACTTGTTGTTGTTGTTGCTGCTGTTTCGGACTGCCTGGGGTGCTGTGGGATTGGGATCACTGCGTGCTCCGCCTGCACATTCTCCTTCCTTTCTTCCCCCGTCTTTTCTCTGCCTTGCTTGCCTGCCTGCCTGCCTGTGTCTGTGTGTGTGCCGCGTGGGCTCAGGTCAACCTCTTTTTTAAACAAAGAAACAAAAAAAAAAGACAGAGTAGATAGCACCCTAATCGCATCCAGCAGCTGAATATCTAATAAGTCCCCCCAAAAAAAAACCCAAAAAACAAAACCCAAAGAAAAAAAAAACAGGCTAAAACACAAAAAAAAAGCAAGACAACGAAAAAAGAAACAACACCAACGGGGGTTCTACACACACACGCACACACAGACACCCAAAAGCCACAGGAACAACAAATTGAGTATGTCGGCCTTTCCTGCTGCGAGCCCCTCCATCTGGGTCGGCGGCCTGGACCCCAACCTCAATGAGCAGAAGCTCTATGACCACTTTGTGCGCATTGGGCCGGTGGCTTCTGTCCGTGTGTGCGTCGACTCCGTCACACAGAAGTCGCTGGGATACGGCTACGTGAACTTTCAGAACCCTGCCGATGCCGAGAAGGCCCTTGATCAGGCTGGCGTCAAGCTGGGATCGAAGCACATTCGCATTGCCAAGATTCAGCGCGATCCATCGAAGCGCCGCAGTGGAGTGACCAACATTGTAGTGAAGAAGCTCCCACCCACCGTGGACACCTACGCTCTGAAGGAGATGTTCTCCCGCTTTGGTCGCCTCACTGCTATCGGTCTCGCCACCAACGAGCATGGCGACTCCCGCGGTTACGCCCGCATCTCCTTCGAGAAGGAGGAGTCTGCAGTGGAGGCGGTTCAGGAAGTGAACGGAATGGTCATTGATGACTGCACCATTACGGTGGAGCGGTACCAGCCGCACCACCGCGAGGAGCAGCTGAAGCAGTTCACGAATCTCTACGTGAAGAACCTCGATCCCTCCGTGGACGACGAGAAGCTCAAGGAGGTCTTCTCTGCCTACGGTGAAGTAACATCCGCCAAGGTGCGCGACCTCGGTGCGAATCAGACGGTGGGCTTTGCCTACGTCGCCTACGCCACGCACGAGGCCGCTGCCAAGGCGGTCGAGGAGCTTGACGAAAAGGAAAGCCCCTTGGCGAGTGAGGGGCAGAAGTTGAGTGTGTGCCGTTTCCGCTCCCGTGAAGAGCGCGAGCGCGAGCGCGAACGCCTGCGCCGCGAGCGTCAACAGCAGCACAGCAAGTACCCCAACCTCTACGTGAAGAACTTTGACGACACTGTCACCAGCAGCCGTCTTAAGGAGCTCTTTGAGCGCTACGGCGAGACCGTCTCCGTCTGGGTCATGATGGACAAGGCAACCAAAATGTCTCGCTGTTTCGGTTTCGTCTCCTTCAAGGAGCAGAGCGCCGCGAGCCGCGCTATTCAGGAGCTCCACGGGAGCACTATCCTTGGCCCCCGCCCGCTGTTTGTGACGTATGCTCTCCGCAAGGATGCTCGTCGCCAGACTCTGGAGGACATGCGCAACAAGCAGCCGCGCATGCGCCAGCCGCCGATGGGTGGTTTGATGGGTGGCATGATGGGCCCGCAGCTTGGCTTCATGGGCCCCCAGACCATGTTCAACGGCGTGCCGTTTGCGAACCCCCGCATGCCCATGATGCCCGCCACAATGGGCATGGGTGGCCCGATGCGTCCGCTGGGACCAACACCGATGAACCAAGTG